AATTCTTCCCTCTTACAACAAGTCTTTAGCCATGCATTCATTTCTCTAATTTCCCCATCTTTCTGTGTTGCGCATGGCACAGGCAATATTTAAGAGAATACCTTTCATCTTGGAAATCGTTCCCAGCCCCTCCCAGTAATTTATCAGCCTGGTCCAGCACATCCCAAACCCTGGTACCAGGGAGACAGCAAACCATTCTGTTGAGGCGAACCTGGTGACAAATTATTCTATCAGCCTTCTGATTATAGAATCCCTTATTACCACCAACTGTCTAGACCTACCTGCACTGCCCCCCCCCCCCTCCCCCAACTAGATAGGCTGCTTTCCAGGTTTTTAGAGATAGCAGTGACAACCAGGGCTGCCATTGGGCTGCCATCCAGGATTGAATTGTTTTAGTTTTAATTGTATTTTAGTCAGCAAAAATCTCCAGTACATATTAGTCAACTAAAATCTCTGTTGCATTTTAGTCGACTAAAATCTAATGGATTTAGTTTAATTGCAATGCATTATTTTAAGCATTTCTCTAGACTTTCCAAATGTATTATATAATCCTGAGTAAAAAAACCTAAACCAATGTATTATTTATGGTATTAAGGTTTGAATATGCTCTACAGACACAGATTTAGGCTGCAAGTGGGGATGTGGAAGTAAATGGGAGTGAGGGAGTGCACAGGGTAGAGAACTGGACAGTCTCAAGAGGCTGTTTATTTAATACAGTGCTAAGCATTGCTACCTTGCTGGGAGGGAAAACATTCACCACATCACATCCAGACAGACACGAATCTGACAGAGGAGTTCCTCCTCTGTGGTATGCTGGGCATTGTTAAAGAACTCCAAGGCACAGGCAGCAGGCAGACAGAGGGAGCCTGTGTTTCTCAGCCAATACAGCTTGCAGATAGAGTCTGGGAGCTGCGACTTTAACAGACAGGTGGAGCTCTGAGGAAAGCAGAAGTTCGGGTAGGTAAACGTCCCTTCCTCACATTTGCGTTCCGATTTCATTCATTGACGAAATTGTAATTGATTTTCGTCATAGTTTTTGTCATTTGTTGAAAATTGGAATTTATTTGCATTTAGTTTTAATCACTGAAAACATGTAGTGGATGAAAATTATGAAGAAAATATTTTCTTCAACGAAATTAACACTGATGGACAGAGGGGGGTGCTAAGATGAGTTGTGGACAGGGGTGCAGAATTGAGCCGTTGACAGGAGGAAGAAAAGGTGAGCTGTGGATGCGGTTGAAGAAGAGGTGAGCTGTGAATGAGGGTTGCATAGGTGAGTTGTGAATGGGGGGTGCAGAGGTAACCAAAGAAATGATTTTGGTGGTTACATTTGGGAGGGGACATTAGAAGTGAGAGAGATTTTTGCTTGGGAAGGAAAAGGGAAATCTGCTGGGGAACAGCAAGCTCTTGGTTAGCTCTCTGTTTATATTCTGTGTGCATATACTACCCCACAGCTAGGATCTTCCAGTGCTGCAGGTGTAAATAGAGCTAAGAGACCTGTCACAGGGGCCAGATGACTTAAATTTCACTTAGAACAGCAGTCAGCAGCACAAAGGGATGCTTTGCATTGAATGTAAGTACTATCCCATGTGCTGATTTTTTTTTTCTGCTCCTTGTGTGATACGCACTCCTGAGTCCTGATCTCTGTGTGTTACGCATTCCTGAACCTTAGGCTTTGTACAATATGCAGTTCTAAGCCTTGACCACACCCATTATTTGGCACCAGTTTACTTTTGCGGGGTTGGGGGTGGGGAGGTGGCCTGAGAAGGGACAGGATTAATTCCTGCACCTATTCTCTGAGAAAATAAAAGCCCTAGTAGTACTGAATGTTTTTTCAAGATACACTACATCCACAATGCATTATTTGCATTTGCTGGCTAATGCCATATAAGCCCCTATTGCTTCCATTTTTACATTATACTTTGATTGTCAGACAAAGCCCCTAAACTGTTTTGCCCGATTTCGCAGTCTTTAGTGGTGCAGGCTCCAAGAAGTATTAAAACACTTTGATGTGGCTTTCTCTTTTCATTCAGAAACTGACAAATGTTCTCTTGCAATGTTTTTAACTATGTCTGCTGACTAGCTTTAGGAGAGGAGAGAAAGACACATGTGTAACAGGGAGGGCTGTTGGGAAGTATGGGGGTGACAAAGGTTTTGAATGAAACCATCAAAATCTAAAATGAATCAGATGAATCTATATTCTCATTTTTATATTACAACTTAATGTCACATTGACATAAGTATTATGGAAATTTCTAACCAACATGTATGGCTCTGAACTGCAACATGTGACCTTTTTTGATTTATAAGCACACTGTGAAAGAATACATCATTCACCAATATGCTGATTGTTGTAAAGCACTTTAAAAAATAATTTTCCTTATATATACTAGCCTGACATTTTGTGACATCTCTTGAATATTTGTCATTGTTGCATACTCCTAAATCTATCATTCCAGGCACAATAATGACATATCAGAAAATGCATTAAAACTTCTATTTACAACATCCTTTTGAGAATATATTTACCTTTATGTACAATTTTTAGATTCAATTTTTACCCAAGCAAGTTATGTTTTTTTCTTATAACAAGACTATAAATCCATAGAAATATAGAAGAGTGTTGGCAGGAAAAGACCAAGTGCTCCATTAACATTACATATAAATATATATATATATATATATATATATACACACACCACAGGTGAAACTCAGAAAATTAGAATATCGTGCAAGAGTTCATTTATTTCAGTAATGCAACTTAAAAGGTGAAACTAATATATGAGATAGGCTCATTACATACAAAGCAAGATAGTTCAAAGCCGTGATTTGTCATAATTGTGATGATTATGGCTAGAGATGAGCGAATCGAACATGATGAAGTGTAATTCGTTCCGAAGATTTGGAAAAATTCGATTCGCGACAAATCCGAAGATTAGCAAACTTCGGATGCACGAATCGAATTTTCCCAAAAATGGCGGCGACATGTGTGGCGACAGGAAAAAATGGACAGAGAAGATGGGGGCGGGGATCTCTGGGAAGGCGCTGTTAGGAATGGACTGGCCAGCAATGGTGGGACTCACCTGCCTTTTGATCTGCAGTACCAGGGCTGGCCAGCGGGTGCTCCCAGCAATCAGAGACTCAACCTTTCAGCCAGCTAACACCTGGAACTGATGATACTGGTGTATTTGGATAAGGGATGGCCAGACTTGCAGACTCTGCCTTGGTGTTGTGTTTGTCCTGGGCCCTGTATCTGTCCTGCATCCTGTTTCTGTTCCTTTGCTGACTTCTCCTGCTCTGATCCTGGCTTGTGACCCTGACCATCCCTCTGTCTGACCCTCTGTACTACGCTGCTTGCTACCTGTTCTGATCCCTGGCTTGTGACCCGGACCATCCCTCTGCCTGACCCTCTGTACTATGCTGCTTGCTACCTGCTGAACCTGGCCTGTGACCCCGACCATTCTCCGCTTGCTCCCCTGTACCTACCTGCCCAATTGATATTGACCCGGCCTGCCTGACGACGCTTGCTTGTATATACTGTTATCTGTGGGTGGTTTGGTTTGGTTTGTTTGCACCGTATTATGTTTAGTATTGCACTGCGTTTATGTTTGTATTGTTAGTGTTAATAAATTTATATTGTTTATAACATATCTGAGGTCTGCGTTTCCCTGCTTCAGTCACACACCTCTGGTCATACCTGGGAGCCCTGACATTACACCAAGGCCAATCCTGACCAGAAGTGGCTGCACAGGGAAGCCATCTTGGTTTGTTGATGGGAAGGATGGATCTGGATGAGGTTGAGTATTTATATCTGCTAGTGTTTGATGACAGGGAGTATGCTTATCAAACTCTGAAGGAGTATACCCGGGATGAATTGCTAGAATGTATACGGCTCGCTCATGTTCTAGTAGATCAGGGCACAGTGTTCTCTGAGGTGCAGCCATTGATTGAGGTTTGTGCAGAGTTGGTTTCATCTGGTTCCCCCGAATGCAGGGATGAATTTTTGCCACCATTTAGTGCAGACCAGGTAGAGTCCCTGGTGTGGTTATTAGAGGATGATGTGGGTTACTTTCTGGAGCGTTATTCCACATGTTCACCACAGACACTGAGAGATTGTATTAACGCAGTGCAGTCATTGACCAGACAGGCTTTGTGTAAGCTCAGCTTTGTTCAACCCATACTGCAGACATGGACAGATTTGTTGCACCCAGCCTCAGTCAGCTTACAAAGACCCAGTCCTGCTTCTAACTCTACTCCTGTATTCCCACCAGCTCCTCCAGTTACAGCCCAGTATACTTGGCTATCTACCGCATGTCAGTACCCTGTTCCCACTCGCTGCACCTATCCTGCCTTTATCCCTGTAAAAAAGCCCTCTGTAGCAACTGCTCCCTCTCCTGTTCCATCCTCCAGTTCTTCTCTGTCTCCAGCTGCTCCATTCGTTTGCAGACCTGCGTTTACTTGCAGTGCTCCAGTAGTTAAAACCAGAAAAAAGCGCGAAAATTCTTTCCAACCAATACCATCCTGCCAGTATCCAAAACCGGTGAGCCTGCCTTCCGTGGTACAGCCTGATGCCTCTCTTCAGCCTGATGCCTCTCTTCAGCCTGATGCCTGTACGCAGCCTGATGCCTCTACTCATCGGATGCCTGAAGCCTCTACGCAGCCTGAAGCCTCTACGCGGCCTGAAGCCTCTCCTCAGCCTGAAGCCTCTACTCGGCCTGAAGCCTCTACTCGGCCTGATGCCTGTACTCGGCCTGATGCCTGTACTCGGCCTGAAGCCTCTACGCGGCCTGAAGCCTCTCCTCAGCCTGAAGCCTCTACGCGGCCTGAAGCCTCTACTCGGCCTGATGCCTGTACTCGGCCTGATGCCTCTACTCGGCCTGAAGCCCTCTACTCGCCTGATGCCTCTACTCGGCCTGATGCCTCTACTCGGCCTGAAGCCTCTACTCGGCTAATGCCTCTACCCAGCATGATGAACTGATCCAGCCTGACGATCCTATTAGGCCAGTTGACTCGATGCCCGCTGTTGATCCAGATGATCCGGTACCTGATCCGGTGCCCGCTGTCGTGCCAATTGACTCAGAGCCCGCTGTCGTACCTGGTGACTCGGTGCCCACTGCCTTGCCAGATGACGCGGTGCCCGCTGGCAAGCCAAATGACCTGATGCCTGGTGACCTAGTGTCCGCTGTCATACCTGATGACCCGATGCCCGCTGTCGAGCCAGACAATCCGGTACCTGATGACCCGGTGCCCACTGTCCGTGCCTGTTGACTCGGAGACCACTGCCTTGCCAGATGACGCGGTGCCCGCTGTCGAGCCAAATGACCTGATGCCTGGTGACCCGATGCCCGCTGTCCAGTCAGACGATCCAATGTCTGACCCAGTGCCCGCGGTCATACCAGTTGACTCGGAGCCCACTGCCTTGCCAGATGACGCGGTGCCCGCGGTCGAGCCAAATGACCTGATGCCGGTGTGCCTCTGCCCGGAGTCCTGCCCGATGTGCCTCTGCCCGGAGTCCTGCCCGATGTGCCTCTGCCCGATGTGCCTCTGCCCGATGTGCCTCTGCCCGATGTGCCTCTGCCCGGAGTCCTGCCCGATGTGCCTCTGCCCGATGTGCCTCTGCCCGGAGTCCTGCCCGATGTGCCTCTGCCCGGTGTGCCTCTGCTCGATGTGCCGCTGCCCGGAGTCCTGCCCGGTGTGCCAGTCTTTGATATCCCGCCAGTTGCCAGACCCGGGCGGTGGAACATTTTGCCCAGCTAGGACTGTTTGGAGCGTCCTGAGGCCGCTCCTTGAGGGGGGGGTACTGTTAGGAATGGACTGGCCAGCAATGGTGGGACTCACCTGCCTTTTGATCTGCAGTACCAGGGCTGGCCAGCGGGTGCTCCCAGCAATCAGAGACTCAACCTTTCAGCCAGCTAACACCTGGAACTGATGATACTGGGTGTATTTAAGGGATGGCCAGACTTGCAGACTCTGCCTTGGTGTTGTGTTTGTCCTGGGCCCTGTATCTGTCCTGCATCCTGTTTTCTGTTCCTTTGCTGACTTCTCCTGCTCTGATCCTGGCTTGTGACCCTGACCATCCCTCTGTCTGACCCTCTGTACTACGCTGCTTGCTACCTGTTCTGATCCCTGGCTTGTGACCCCGGACCATCCCTCTGCCTGACCCTCTGTACTATGCTGCTTGCTACCTGCTGAACCTGGCCTGTGACCCCGATCATTCTCCGCTTGCTCCCCCTGTACCTACCTGCCCAATTGATATTGACCCGGCCTGCCTGACGACGCTTGCTTGTATATACTGTTATCTGTGGGTGGTTTGGTTTGTTTGCACCGTATTATGTTTAGTATTGCACTGCGTTTATGTTTGTATTGTTAGTGTTAATAAATTATATTGTTTTATAACATATCTGAGGTCTGCGTTTCCCTGCTTCAGTCACACACCTCTGGTCATACCTGGGAGCCCTGACAGGCGCGCAGAAAAGGCGCGCTGACCCATAATGCATTCATGAGTCATGAATCATGACATGTGATCGCATTAGCCAATCAGCAGCCAGCCAGCACTGTGTAATGGTGGAGCTATAAATCGCGGCCATCTTAGAATTCTCCATTAGCCTCCGGTCATTCAAGAGAGACAGACCTGTCTGTATTAAGGGACAGAGTTAGGGCCACAGAGACTTTAGGGCCACAGAATCGTTACTCAGGGACACAGAATCGTTACTCAGGGACACAGAATCGTTACTCAGGGACACAGAATTGTTACTCAGGGACACAGAATCGTTACTCAGGGACACAGAATTATTTACTCAGGGGACACAGAATTGTTACTCAGGGACACAGAATCGTTACTCAGGGACACAGAATTGTTACTCAGGGACACAGAATTGTTACTCAGGGACACAGAATTGTTACTCAGGGACACAGAATCGTTACTATCAGGGACACAGAATCGTTACTCAGGGCCACAGCTATCAAAGAATCGAAAATTTAAAGTGACATACACCCTTTTTTTTTTTTGGTGGCTGTCGTGCACAGTTGGTGCTGCAGTTTGCCGATTGTGCAAAATAAACTGACTTTCTGCTTCACAACCACTATTGTACGTTCAAAGAGTTAAATCCATTTACACGCCGACTGGCGGTAATTTTTTGGGTGATTAGTGCATTCCAGTGACACAAACGTACAGTTTCCAGCCAACGGCAAGCTGCAATTGACCGATTGTGCTAAATAAAACTGACTTTCTGCTTCACAACCACTATTGTACGTTCAAAGAGTTAGATCCATTTACACGCCGGGTGGCGGTGTATATTTTTTGGGTGATTAGTGCATTCCAGTGACATAAACGTACAGTTTCCAGCCAACGGCAAGCTGCAATTGACCGATTTTTGCTAAATAAACTGACTTTCTGCTTCACAACCACTATTGTACGTTCAAAGAGTTAAATCCATATACACGCCGGCTGGCGGTAATATTTTTTGGGTGATTAGTGCATTCCAGTGACATAAACGTACAGTTTCCAGCCAACGGCAAGCTGCAATTGACCGATTGTGCTAAATAAACTGACTTTCTGCTTCACAACCACTATTGTATGTTCAAAGAGTTAGATCCATTTACACGCCGGGTGGCGGTAATATTTTTTTGGGTGATTAGTGCATTCCAGTGACAGAAACGTACAGTTTCCAGCCAACGGCAAGCTGCAATTGACCGATTGTGTACAATAAACTGACTTTCTGCTTCACAACCACCATTGTACGTTCAAAGAGTTAGATCCATTTACACGCCGGTGGTGGCGGTAATATTTTTTGGGTGATTAGTACATTCCAGTGACATAAACGTACAGTTTCCAGTTCCAGCCAACGGCAAGCTGCAATTGACCGATTGTGCTAAATAAACTGACTTTTCTGCTTCACAACCACCATTGTACGTTCAAAGAGTTAAATCCATTTACACGCCGGCTGGCGGTAATATTTTTTGGGTGATTAGTGCATTCCAGTGACAGAAACGTACAGTTTTCCAGCCAACGGCAAGCTGCAATTGACCGATTGTGTACAATAAACTGAATGACTTTCTGCTTCACAACCACCATTGTACGTTCAAAGAGTTAGATCCATTTACACGCCGGGTGGCGGTAATATTTTTTGGGTGATTAGTGCATTCCAGTGACATAAACGTACAGTTTCCAGCCAACGGCAAGCTGCAATTGACCGATTGTGCTAAATAAACTGACTTTCTGCTTCACAACCACTATTGTACGTTCAAAGAGTTAAATCCATTTACACGCCGGCTGGCGGTAATATTTTTTGGGTGATTAGTGCATTCCAGTGACAGAAACGTACAGTTTCCAGCCAACGGCAAGCTGCAATTGACCGATTGTGTACAATAAACTGACTTTTTGCTTCACAACAAACCACCATTGTATGTTCAAAGAGTTAGATCCATTTACACGCCGGGTGGCGGTAATATTTTTTGGGTGATTAGTGCATTCCAGTGACAGAAACGTACAGTTTCCAGCCAACGGCAAGCTGCAATTGACCGATTGTGCTAAATAAACTGACTTTCTGCTTCACAACCACTATTGTACGTTGAAAGAGTTAAATCCATATACACGCCGGGTGGCGGTAATATTTTTTTGGGTGATTAGTGCATTCCAGTGACAGAAACGTACAGTTTCCAGCCAACGGCAAGCTGCAATTGACCGATTGTGTACAATAAACTGACTTTCTGCTTCACAACCACTATTGTACGTTCAAAGAGTTAGATCCATTTACACGCCGGCTGGCGGTAATATTTTTTGGGTGATTAGTGCATTCCAGTGACATAAACGTACAGTTTACAGCCAACGGCAAGCTGCAATTTACCGATTGTGCTAAATAAACTGACTTTCTGCTTCACAACCACTATTGTACGTTCAAAGAGTTAAATCCGGTTTTATTTTTGGGGTGCTTATTGAATTAAAGAGTATGTCAGACAACACGCAGAGGAGTGGCAGAGGAGGCAATGTTTCAGGAGCGAGCAGACGTGGCAGCAGAGGAAGGGGTCGAGGCAGCACTAGTCGCAGCCAGAGGCCAGTGCTCCCGGTGTCATCCAGCGGTCGTGTCTCCACCGACAACCCTGCCGTCATCGATTGGTTGACTCGGTCGTCTTCCTCTTCCCAGGTCACCTCTGACACCTACAGCCAACGGTCGGTGGGTACGTCAGACACAACCGTTAGTTGGCATGGCCCGGGAGCAAGCCCACTGAAATCACGTGTCCTCGACCTGCCCCTGTCCTTTGGTGTTCCCTACCACCAAGCGAAGTATCGCATGCTGTGGGCTCAGCCCCACTGTACAGTGAGGAAGAGCTAACAGAGGGCGGTCAGGAACGGGGGGAGACATCCGCCTCTTCAGCAGCCAGGCAAAGAAGTAGTGGCGAGGAGAGTGGCTTGGTAGCCGGTCTAGAGACAGGTCTGTCTCCTGACCCACACGCACGCAGCCGAGGGGGCTAGTAGTGACGCGGAGACCCTAATTGATGATGATGAGGCTGATCGCACTTGGCAGCCTCGTCGTCATCAGGCTATTGCTTCCGCATCATCAGGAGAAGAGGGTGCCAGCTTGCCAGCGAGCAAAACAGTCAGTGGGTTGCCCAGGAGGCAGCAGGGTCGCAGCAGTGTCAGTGGAGCCAAACGGCCACGGAGTAGAGCACCAGCTCCACTGCAGCCTACCACCACGGCCAGTAGTGGTGCCGGTGTGCACGGAGGAAGTAGCAGTCAGCCAGTGAGGAGTAGCGGGGGCAAAGTTTCCTACTCGGCGGTGTGGCAATTTTTTGTCACGCCGCCGCCCGAGGAAGTAAACGTAGCCGTATGTCAACTATGTGGCCAGAAAGTCAAGCGTGGCCAGGGGGCCAATGTTGGGACTACAGCGTTGCGTCAGCATATGCAGCGTCGCCATTCGGTGGCCTGGGAAAACCGTGATAAAGATATGGCGGTTCTGCCTGCCCCAGCCCCCGCTCCATCACCCTCTCCGTTACTTGCTCCGTCACCCGACGTCAATCGCCCTCTATCAGCCAGTCAAGGCTTCAACACCTCTGCTGAGGGGAGTTGTCGCTCGTTGGCATCTTCCGCTCGTTCAGATGCTCCTTCTCTGCTACTCCTCTTCACGGATTCCGTCAGCAGTCTTTCTTGGAATCTGTTTCCAAGAGACAACAGTTTGCGAGCACGCACCCGACGGTGCAGAAGCTGAACGTCCTCCTGTCCAAGTTGCTGGTGCTGCAGTCCCTCCCTTTCCAAGTGGTGGACTCAGCACCTTTCCGAGAAATGATGGCTTGTGCCGAGCCACGGTGGAGAGTGCCAAGCCGTCATTTCTTCGCCAAAAAGGCAGTGCCAGCCCTGCATTCACATGTAGAAGAGATGGTGGGCCAGTCTTTGAGCATGTCGGTCTCTGCCAAAGTGCACGGCAGCGCCGACGTGTGGAGCTGTAACTACGGTCAGGGACAGTACATGTCATTTACGGCCCACTGGGTGAACGTGGTGCCGGCACAGCCGCACCAGCAACTTGGACAGGTCACGCCGCTTTTGCCTCCACGTTTGCACGTCCTTGGTCCAGCAAAGATGTCCGCCTCTACCACCTCTTCTTCCGCCGTGTCCTCAGCCGCCACCCCCGTGCCAAGTCCCATTACCCGAGACCGGCATATCACATGTGCAGGGCGCAACGGTGTCACGCTGTGCTGCACCTGGTATGCCTTGGCGAACGTAGTCACACAGGGGAGGAACTTCTGAGTGTAATGAACAGAGAAATCGACAGATGGCTGTCTCCGCGCAAACTGAAAATCGGAACCATGC